CGCCGCGTCCTCGCCGTCGCCGCGTCCACCATCGTTTCTCTCTCGTCGAAAACCACCGATCTCGCGGCTGTGCTGGCTGTGTGGGTGTTGTCGCGCGACGAGATCTAGACTCAAGGACGTTGGGGTCGTTGTCGGAGAAGGCGATGTCGCCGGTGGTGCGGTCGGGGACGACGCGAGAAAGCGATGGAGGGAGTGGGAGGGAGGGAGTCAGATCTGGAGGAAAGGAGGGAGAGTGAGGGAGCGAGGGTGTGAGGAGGAAGAAGGAAAGGAGGGAGAGCGAGGGAGCGAGGGTGGGGAGGAAGAAGGAAGGGAGGGAGAGCGAGGGAGCGAGGGTGGGGAGGAAGAAGGAAAGGAGGGAGAGCGAGGGTGGGAAGGAAGAAGGAAAGGAGGGAGAGCAGGGAGCGAGAGTGGGAGTGAGATCTGGAGGAAGAAGGAAATGAAAGGTCAGTTAAGATACGTGCATATGACTCGGTTCACTCTCACCCGAAACAATACATGCGTATAGGCATCGGTTCTACACCTGACCGAGGCATATAATCCTCATAAAAGAATAAAAAAAAAATATAAAATGACTATATATCTCGGTTTCCATTTAAACCGAGGCATAAACACTGTTTCGTAGCTTTTAGACTTCGGTCATTACTTTAACCTAGGTAATATGCCACCGTATTTTAATAGGCTTCGGTTTCACTTAAACCGGTGCCTATAACGCGAGTTTAAAACCAATTTTTTTACTAGTGATATATATATATATATTATCTTTCCTTCAATTATAATACAAGGAAAAATTCTTTTTATTTCTGTTGTATAGTCATTTATTGATATTTATTTAAGAGATGGTGATAAATATTGTAATTTGCAGGTGACAAAGTTCAGATGCGGAGGTTTTACTTTGGGGCTTTGCATGAACCACTGCATGAAAGATGGACTATGTGCCATGGAGTTTGTGAATGCATGGAGTGAGACAGCTCGAGGTTTAGACTTAAAGATCCCACCATTTCTTGATCGAACTATAATCAAAGCACGTGATCCTCCCAAAGTAGAGTTCAAACACAACGAATTTGCCGAAATACAGGATGTGTCAAACACTAGAAAGCTTTATGAGGAAGAAAACATGCTCTACAGATCCTTCTTCTTCGATCCTGAGAAGCTCGATCTACTTAAGAAAAAGGTCACAGAAGACGGAGTTTTGAGCAAGTGCTCAACTTTTGAAGCGCTCTCAGCGTTTGTGTGGAGAGCTCGAACTGCAGCATTAAGGATGCAACCTGAGCAACAAACAAAGCTTCTCTTTGCAGTTGATGGAAGGTCAAGATTCGTTCCCCCAATACCAAAGGGGTACTTTGGCAATGGTATTGTGTTGACAAATTCGTTGTGTGAGGCTGGGGAGTTATTGAGGAACCCTTTGTCATATTCCGTGGGATTGATTCGCAAGGCAATTGACATGGTCACTGATAGTTACATGAGATCTGCCATTGACTATTTTGAAGTCACAAGAGCTAGGCCATCTCTTACAGCCACCCTTTTGATCACAACTTGGACTAAGTTGTCTTTCCACACCACAGATTTTGGCTGGGGAGAACCTCTATGTTCTGGTCCTGTGACTCTGCCAGAGAAAGAAGTCATTTTGTTTTTATCACATGGTCAAGAAAGGAAAAACGTAAATGTTCTTCTGGGTTTGCCCAAGTCTGCCATGGAAATTTTTGAAGATTTGTTGATGCAAGTGTGAGCATGTAGTAGGGTGGCATAGGTTTTCTCGAGTGAAAAAAGGACCCTAATAAATAAATCTGGCTAGTAAGTATGCATGTGCTCAAATTTGTAATAAAGACATTTGTGTGTACACCCACAAATTTTCTTAAAATGAAGTTGGAACTGTATTATTGAATCAATCGTGTATGCACCCAAATATCTAAGAGTCTCACTTAACTCTGATGTCTCCTAACTCCTATAAAGATTTTGTTGTGTATATAACAATTGTATCGTGTACTGTAAAAAATAAATAGAAGAAGAATTACGTTTCAAAAAATGGAAACAACGAGCGAGTGATGAGTTGGCCTAAGCCCAAACTCCATTCAAAGCCCCATTGTAGCATGACAAGAAAGCTCCAGGAGGAACTTGAAAATACATCAAAAGGCAAGAATTGAAGAATTTACTCACTTGGAACAAACAAGCCTCGCTCAACGCTTGATGACTCTAGCCAAGCGAAGCAGTGCCCAACACACCTCCTCGCCGCTCAGCGCACACGTCCTGTTTCAACTTCTTCACATGTAGCTCATGTTCCATGTGTCTTGCTCATTGTAAACGTGCTTTATTACATGGCACTCGATCCATTCATCACGCTTGATGATCAAGATAGTAGTTAGGCACCGTGGGAAAGCTTGGATCATTCTATAAATTCACCTTTTCCACCCCATTGCAAATCACTTTGACGTTTATGGTAATGAACCTCTCTTGAGATCACTCCATATGCATTCTCTTATTCTCTTTCAAAGTCACGGCCGAGTGTTTTATCTCCTCTAGTCACCTTCCCTAGATAGGTTTCCTTCTAAGTCTCATTCTTGCACCATAACCCACACCAAACCATTTAACTGAGAGTCCTTCACCAGTATAGAAATCACTTTAGACGTATGTTATTTTGGACTTTTTACGTCCGACCTGTATCGGACGTCTATACGGGTGACGTTGATAGGACGTCCGACCTGTTTAGTCGGACGTCTATATAGACGTCCGATTAAAAAGGTCACACGTCTATATAGATGTCCGACTAAACAGGTCGGACGTCAAAGACCCTGTAACGACTTTAGCCTTTGTAATACATTGGACGTCTCTTTATACACTGACAGACGTCTATAGACGTCCGATGTGGCATTAACAGACGTCTAGTGGGTATATTTTTAAAAAAAATTTATTTATTTTTGCAATAAAACCACACTTGAAAAGCAGAAAATTGTCCAAGAACATTATAATATAATATATCAACTCGTTTGAAGTTAACAAAGTACTAAAAAAAATCCAAAACCTAAACTATCAAAAGTTAAAGTTAAACTAAATCTAAATATGTTGAACAACAATAATAAATCTTCCTATCTAAGTCCATCTTTGTAGAAGATAAGTTGTCTACTCCTGTCTTATCTTCTTAATTGTGTCCTCTGGTATAACAGATGTACTCTTGAAGCGCTGCAAAATGAAGAAAGATGCATTATGTACCTATCTTAAAACAAAGTTAAGTTGTTAGAAACTAAGAATCTAAATAAGTTAAGCATCATTACCTCATCCTAGTCATCTAAAATGACAGCTCGAATGATGGTCTTAATCTGAAACATGACATAGTAGCCACATTCCCATGAATCTAGCTGTTTGTTACACTAAGATGACAAACTAAATAGTCAAGCATTTAGATCATTGAATAACTAGTAAAATAAATTAGAACTATAAATGACTTACAACCTTTGGATACAGGATTTTTATTAGTTGACCTTTGTTTTTACTCTTTACTCTATTTACATTGAAAACACAAGGTAATATTAATATAACTATATTTATCATAAAAATTGAAGGTCAAAATGAATTTGAAACATAAAAAAAGAAACACTTACCCTTGAAGCATGTTTCTCAAGTCATTTTTCATCTTCCCGTGCAACGAACAAAATCATACAATTTTACATTGTTTGGGAATGATGAGCATCAGTTGCCAATGAGACCTATCATGATTCATAAATAGTTAGTAAACTAATTAAGAAAACTTTAATGAAAGTTTACATAAAGCAACCCATACCCATTAATGTATGGCACAAAGTATATGTCTCTGTTTGACTCAACCATCTATGTTTTCAAATACTTTTGTTTGCTCTCAATTGTGTTACCAGAAGGTTGCATTGTCTGAGGTTCAACAAATCTGTACATGGAAGACCGACCTTGGTCCACAATGACTGTGTCCATGTACCTAAAACAACAAAGTTAAGTTGTTAGAAACTATGAATTTAAATAATTTTAATATGGAAGACAAAATTAACTATCTTACATGCACCATAGTTGAAGGATGGAAATATTCAACATCATGTCTCCCCCAATGATCTCTAGTGCATCATTGAATATGATATATACTGGGACACGGGGGAAAGCCAAATACTCTATATCCCAGTACATTTCTATTTGTACTTTGTTCAACCTAGGTAATTTTGTCATGAGCTTTGCTGGAGGATCATCCTCCGCTTCAGCCAGTTCATCATCTTCATCTATGAACTGCTCATGCATTGGCTGCTTGTGGGGACGTATGAACTAAACATAAAAATTTCAAAGTTATTAATAAATATTTTTAAATTTAACATACAAAGACTAATAACAAAAATATTATGCTTGTGGTGTAGCAATGTGTGACATGATCAATGCTTTAGGCCAGACTATAAATGTTCCTATGACCTCCCCCACAAAATGAATTTCTGAAGTGGGTACAGGCACCTGAGCCTAGGGAACACCATGAACAGTCTGCCCTCCCTCAAGTACTCGTTCGACAGCCACAATGCGTGGGGGATCCCTATCAACCAACAGCTCATACTGACCACTATACTTAGTAGGCTCTACAGCAGAGCATGATCCCCTAGTGTTGACCCTAGGTGGTCTGGGAGCTTCAGTGGGCAACCCCATGGTGGGATGCGTCATGGAATGCAACTTCTCTTCAAGCGCTCTTTAAATTTCTTTTTGTTCTTGTAGTTGCTCCATGAATCGTTGCTCCATTGATCTCATGCTTCGGTTGAGTCTTTCCTCCCACTGAAGATTCATCTTCCTCAATGCCTCCTGACTCATGGATTGAGTGTTTTTTTGTGCAAGGCCAAAGTAGTCACGAAGAACAATCGCCCCAGGAACTCTACGTACACGTCCTGCGTGCTCGGGCTTTCCAATGGTCGTTGTTAGAATGCCATCCCTACCTTGGCCAACAAATGTTCCCTGAGTTTGCTGCTCAACCAACTCATCTTGCTTATAAAAAAAACTTTGTAAAAACGAAAATGCGATGATAAATACACAATCAAACAATGTTTTGGTTTAAACTTACAATTTTTTGTGAGATCAAGGCAGTTGAGGAAGATGTCATTCTCCCATCAGATTTAGTACGAGCAACCTTCCATAGCTCGTACCTAGCAAGTGCAAGTGCTAGGTCGGGGGACTCAAGTCCTAAGGCCTCCGCTCAAGTCTTCCTGTCAACACTCAATTTTGTCCGGGTTGTAAAAATTCTATTGGTTATTTATTATTTTCCTTTTATCTTATTTTACCTTTTTGTTTTATTCTATT